AGACACAAGCGGACGGGTAGTGACCGGAGGAGGCCCGGAGGCCTCAGGGAATTCCCCGAAAGGGGACGGGAGCTCCGTAGAAGGAGCAGGAGTCTCCACGGAGGGAGACGGAGTTGGCGGAATCGTCGGAGTCGGTATAGGCGCCGTGACCGGAACATCAAGAACCGGAGGCGTCTCGTCCGTTGCCGGAACAACCGAAGCAGATCCCGGAGGAGGTTCCGGGTTTGTCGACAGTGATTCCTCCGGAGGACAGGGCCGGAAAGCGATAGTGGCTTCAGTCCAGTTAATCAACGGATTAATGCGGGTGAGCCAATTATATCCCAAGACCATGTCGCACGGAGAATCGAGACGGGTGACGAAGAAGTCCATGTATTGGACTTCGCCAGAAGGAAACCGGAGGAGTAGCCGGAGCATCCGGTTTATGATGGTAGAGGAGCCGTCGAGATACCGGAGTCGGACCGGTGCAACCGTATACGTAGAAAAGCCATTAGATTCGCAGATTTTCAAAGATATAAAACAATGAGACGATCCGGAGTCAACAAGCGCACGCACACGGGAGTTGAATCCCGCGACTACTCGAGATAGGAGAGATGGGGAAATGGTTGAACATAATTCCGGCTCGGAGATGTCCGGCCGGAGCGGGGATATATCGAGAAAGACGTAAAGGGCATTAAGTAAGAGGGCGGAAGCGTTGAGACGAACCTCGGTAAGCACCCGGGAGTCAACGCAACTCGGACCAGGTGCGGAGGGTTCCGAGTTGCTGATCAATTTTTTGACTCGCCAACCGGAGGCGCCGGAGGCGCCGGGGCATTACCGGAGGTCGAAGCCTGCGCGGCCTTGGCGTCGGCACGCGCGGGACGCTTCGGGCAGTTGTCGGCGGTGTGACCCTTGCCTCCGCAGTACGTGCAGAGATTGTTCTTCCGGCGGCGTTCCCGTTCGTCCTGCTTGATCTTCCCGGAGGCGTCAAGCTTGTCGGCGTAGGGGCGAGAGGCAGGAGCCGGATCGGACGACTTGCCCTTTCCCTTGCCCTTGTCTTTGCCGCCAGTGCGTCCGGCATTGTTGCCGGCGTTGCCGGGATTACCGGAATCAGGGTTGGACGATTTGGGATTCTTGCCAGGGCCTTTGTTGCCGGATTTGGGGTTGCCGGATTGGCCACCGCCGCCGGGACCGGAAGGTTTCTCCCGGTCGCGATCGCGTTGCTTCTCCGCCTCGCGTTTCCAGTACCGGCCATCGATGAGACGAGCGACCATCTTCACTCCGTCGAGGGTATTGACATAGTTGTGATGGACCATGTCGTCCTTGATCCGGCGGGGAAGTCCCTCGTAGAATTGATACCGGAGGGCGTTATCGCTCCACCGGGTCAATACGGAGAGGAAGTCGAACTCGATGATGTAAGTGGTGATCCGGTCGCCGGTTTTCATTCGGCAATCGCGGATCTTGTCCTCGGCATCCCCAACCGGATCATGCGGCCCGAAGTTAAGCGTAAGTTCCTGGACGAAGGCGGCAAAGTCGCCGTCCCAAGCCGGGATGATAGTCGGGTCGTACAAGTTGGGGGAAAACCACTGCTGAGCGCTACCCCGGAGGTACGAGATGATGTACAGGATGCGATCATCATCGTCCGGGTAGTCTTGGGGGCGCTCCGCGAAGTGCAGATAGCACTGGGTGAGGAAGGACTGAAGTTTTGCCGGGTCCGATCCATCGAAAGTATCCGGATTACGGAGATTGGATCGGGTGGAACGAGCAGGAGGAGCCGGAGGACGCGCCGCGAAAATATTAAGTGTATCGCGGAAGGTCCGAAGGGTGTCCACAAAAAGTTCCTCTTGGGGGTCCGGAGTAGCGGGACGGCGCTGACCACGTCGTGGGCCGCCCGGTCCACCACCTCCGGGACCACCGGGACCGCCGGGACCGCCGGGACCGCCGGGGCCTCCGGGGCCAGGTTGACCACCGGGAGCACCTCCCTGTGGACGGTCTCTGGGACGGTCGTCCGCGGGACGGTCAGGAGCTGGGGACTGACGGGCCGGTTGATCGCCACCACCACCATCACCACCTCTGCCACCTCCACCGCCGCCAGCGCCTCCGGCTCCTTCTTCCCCTTGACGAGAGGGAATGGATTCGGGGCGAGCGGGAGAATCATCGCGAGATAAATGAAGGCTTCCGGCACGTTCACGGCCGGTTTGTCCGGAATTCTCCGGAGCCTCTTCGATGTCCTCAGGAACCTCGACAATACGAGGATCCTCGATGGGGGATTCACTGCGAGAACGTGCTGCAGTGCGGCGTGGATGAGGGGAGACAGGATACCTCACCGGGTTTTCGGGGGTCCGGGGATTGAGAACCAACCCCGGAACGTTCGCCGGAAAGGGTAAAGGTGGAGCGGCTGAAGCCCGAGAGTGTTGCGGAGCAAAGCGAAGTGTAGGGGAAATTGGGGGTGCTGAAAAAGTCGACGGTCCAAGAACCTGGACCGGAGGAGACAGCTGAACGATCTGACCGAACATGCGGGATTGTCGACGAGGTTCCCGTCCAGCCCGGCCAGGATCGACACGTTCAACTTGTTCCGTGTTGGGTAGGTTGGGATTAGGAATGCGAGACATTGCCAGTCAGAGTAGTGAGATTGATAATACTGTTATATACCGAGCCGGAGACGAAGGACCGGAAGTGCCGGAGGTGCCGGAGGTCCGGCAAGGGCCGGAGGTACCGGAGGTCCGACGGAGGGTCCGGGCTGTATACGAGTGATCGCAACACCACAGGGGGTAAAGGGTGAGCGACTACCTTGACCGGCAGGTAGTCCGGTATAGAGGACGACGACCGGAGGTACCGGAGGAGGACGAGGAGTGCAAGGGCGACTCAGTGCAAGGAGTTAGAGCCAAGCAACGTTAATTATCAATCTCAAGTACAAGACGTATTAAAGTGATATATATACTAAGTAGCTAATTGTATTCCATAATAGGAAGGAGGGTGGTTCTAAACAATAGAGCGTGTTGGAGGAAGTGATGACAAGTCCTAAGACAATAAGGAAGAAGATGAGAAGACGGATAAACGGGAAACGCTCAGTAATCCTTCATTGCGTAAAAACCCGATGATACACGGACATCCGGAGGCTCCGGTCAATGACCGGAGCTCCGGCGGTACCGGAGGTACCGGAAGTACCGGAGGGGGGCGGATGATGGCCAGGAGTTGGCCGGACGTCAGAGGGAGGCTGCACGGATATAACAGAAAGCCAAATTCGAGGCTTCCACCTGGTCACGTCGCGTTTCTCTCCGCACCGCATTTCACACTGTAACCCACGACACGTCCCTGCCCGTGGAAAAGTATGTCGACAAGGTCACCGAAATTCGTGACCAGCTCATCGCACTGGGTGAACCCATATCCGACAACTATTACAAGGATGTTCTCCTTGCGAACCTCGACCCTCTCTATGTCAGTGTTCGCAACACCCTACTTTCCCAGCCCGCTGGTGAAAGCAAACTTGACTCTGTCAAAGCCGTCCTTTGTGGTGCTACCTATATCACCCCAACTGGCAGCCAAGTCAAAACGGAATCCGAGGAGACAGCCCTCGCAGCCTGTAGCGGTGGTGGTGGTAGAAAGGTGTTCGCGTCGAGTGGGAGTGGTCACGGGAATCCCGGACATCGCGATCGCGATCGCGCCGCTCACACCTCTAGCGGTGATGGGCAAGTTTTTGGGAAGGATGACGAAAAAGGTTTTCGTTGGTGCGATCCCACTCACGAGGATCATTGTCATCGCTGCGGTCGGCGGAACCACATAGCCGCTCGATGTGTTGCAGATATGCCGAAGGAGATCAAGGCTTGGGTTCTCGACCGTCCTGGCGCTAACGAACATTCACATGCGGTCCACGAAACGTATGTGGCACATTCATCTTTCTTGCCTCGTCGCCGCCGTCCTTCTCCTTCCCACATTCATTCCAATTGGCGTTCGGACATTCACAACTGCAATTCCGACTAGGTATTGCAACAACCAGGAGTGTGGATGCCACGACAACTCGGATTTGGAAGAAGATCAAGTCGACGTTGGAGTTGTTTATGAAGCTTTTCTTTGATTGAGTGGGAGCATTTTTTATTTCTCTCCTGCTTTTGTTTTTGTTTCAGTGGGAGCTTGCTTATCTCGCAGAGTGGGAGTGTTGGAAATCGTCCGCTTTCGTACTGCTCGATGACTTCGCTACTGATATCTAATACGTACAAACATCATGTACTGGATCTGCAATCTTAGCGTTCCCCCTCATCTGCGGGTCTGTCCGAGTCCATTCGAGTCCTCTAGGAGTCCCATTTCTAATACCTACTTGCCAAAGATGCATCGTCTTTAGCAAAATTGTGTCTTTCACGTCTTTCACGTCTTGCCCAAGACGTCAAAGACGTCAAAGACAAACGTGTTGTTTTACTGATGCCCTGCTGTTGCATACCACCAAAGACATCAATGGGAAGCCCCGGGCTCGACTCCCAGCGTCTGAGCTCGCCAACAACCTGTGCCTTTTTTTTACCGCATATAATTCACTTAAATTTTTGGAGTTTGTGAGCATGGTGAGTTGGATATGAATGAGGTGGGTCGGTGGGAGTAGACACACCATCAAAAAATACTTTTAGTTATCTGGGACCTACCTCAGCCTCTGGCGGCTTCCCACTTACTGGCCAACAAGGTCCACAATCGGTTCAACGAGCTTATCAGACGTGGTGTAACGAAACACGGCCTCTCACAATGCAAGGACCTCCTCAGTTATGAGGTACCTCCGGGTTCGACTCCCGGCGTCTGGGTGCATTGACCAGCAATGAGTGTGCATCGATTTTTTCCCGTCTTCTTCATACACATGTATATCTCCCCTGCCTCCCTGTCTCCGCTGTGCGCGCCGCTGGAAGTCATGCAACACAGTCGAAGTTTCATACCCGTGCCTGGGGTTCAATTTTTCTGTACTCAAATCCGAGAGCCCGGTTTGGCAGTGCTCTGGGTTGATCCGGAGTGATCTAGTTTAACTAGTCCGTCCCAATATACAGTACTCAGGCGTGGTGTAAGGAAACACGACCCCCTGCTTCTGTACTTCATCAATGGGTAGCCTCGGGTTCTACTCCCGGCGTCTGAGCTCGCCAGGGAGCCATGCCTTTTTTTACCGCGTATAATGCAATTAAAATTTTGGAGTTTGTGCGAATGGTGAGCTGGATATGAATGAGGTGAGCAGGTGGGAGTAAACAGGCGATCATTTTTTTTTTTTGGTTTGGCTGCGGTCTTCTCAGCCTCTACTGGCGGCTTCACACTTCCTGGCCTACAACATCCACGATCTGCTCAAAGAGATTATCAGACGTGGTGTAACGAAGCACAATGCGCAGATTGCATTTACATAAGCTATGAGGCAACTCGGGGTTCGACTCCCGGCGTCTGAGTTATTACTGGCACAGAATATAATCCCTTTTCCCCCAGCCGTCAACCTTGGTAGTTATCTCTTTATCTCTTTCCCTCCATCTGCTGAAAATACGCTGCTGAAAAGTCGGAAGCACGGGAGGGGTGCAATTTCGTAGCCGTGCCCGTGGTTCGATTTTCTTTTGCTCAGATCCGAGAGCCCTTGCACTGAGTCGATTCAGGTAAAGTCCAGCCTAACGAGTCAATTATAATTCACATTAACCAGACGTGGTGTAACGAAACACGGCCTCTCATAATAGTATGATGCGTAGAAACATAATACTGAGGCAACTCCGGGTTCGATTCCCGGCGTGTGGATGAACCAGGCTTTGCATGCGTTCCCTTTTTTTTGCTTGCGGGATGACTCGGGTGTTTCTATTTTCGGTGGACTGGCCGGCAGGAAGAGGGGCGATTATAGAAATGGAAGCGATGCCCCGCAGAAATAGTAACAAGTAGTCGTACCCTAACTTTTCTGGGCTTGTCGGTCCTCACGCGCACATCGCACGGCGTTTACATGTAAATCGCACTTGATCGATCCTCGCTCACGCAACGAGTAGCACACGACCTGCCGCGCCAAGAGAATCGGCCATCTTGCGGCCATCCAAGCGAAGACCGGCATGTCGATCTCGGCCATCAATTGCAGATCCCACGTGGCCGAATTCAGTCACGAAGACCGTCAACCTTCTATCATCGAGATTCCTGGGCTCATGAAGGAGTCCCCAATCAGCCGCATTGCCACAAGACGGAAGGGGAGTTAGTACAACCGAGGAGCCGCCGAGACTGCCACTCCTTTAGGGAAAACTTGGTGCCAAGCCATTTCGCTAAACGGTCTGATGAGCCCGAGAGGGTCCGAGAAATTGGCCCCGTGAACCATAGTGAATGAAAGAAAACGGTGCGCCGGCGTCGGAACATCCAACCCCGTTCTCTTGCTCCCATCGTTGAGATTTCTGGGGGTCACAGAGATTCAACAAGCCGCAAAGCCGAGGATGGAGGGGCGAAGCGAGCGTGATGCAGTGATAGGGAATCTGATCTCCGTCAATTGCAAACTTAGACTAAAGGAGCATGCAACACCCGAGTTGTCACGCCTCGCATCCCCTTCATTGAATCATTCCCTCATCCATCTCCCTTTCATGAAAACTCGACGGCCATTCGCTCTTTTCTTCTTCCTCTTCGTCGCCGTCGTTGCGCAACATCTGGAAGATTCAGATTCCAACTCGGACCCCGCGCAGTGGGTAAACCCCTTCATCGGGACCAAAAGCGGGGGCCACGTATTTCCGGGCGCGACGCTTCCTTGGGGCGCCGTCAAGGCGGGACCGGATTCTCGCTCGGGAGAGGACCAGGCGGGGTATGTCAGTGACGGCTCGCCTATAACAGGATTTTCTTCGGGGTGCGTGCCGCATGCAGCTTCCTTTTTCCATCCATCCTCGTCTGACTGTGCTGGGCGGGATTTGATAGACACGACGACGGCACAGGCGGTGGGTCCTCCCTCGGAAACTTCCCCTTTCTCCCCCTCACCAGCGCCGAATGCCCCGAATACAACCTCACGTCATGTACCACCGACCGCAACGCCCGAGCGATCGACCATGGGGAACCGAGTGCGTCGCCGGGATATTGTGAGTGTTTTTCCTGAACCAAACGGGGGAACCGTTGGAGAGCTCCCGGGGGTCTGCAGTGGAAAACCAGCAAAACGTAGATGTAGGTAAGGACAAAGTGTGATGATGACTAATCTACTGATCGGGCCGAAGGAGGCGCCCAGGGCGTCTCCAGTCTCCCCCCACCAAACAACGTCCGACCCCGGACGTCTACAACTCGGGGGGAAAAAATGCGGGAGAAAAGCGAGGTAGGTAAAGTAGAAAGTGAGGGGGAAAGTGATAGCAAGAGAGAGGTGCATAGAGATTAGGGAAAGAAGAGCATATATCAGAGGCATAAATGACGGAAATGAGGATAGAAGGATGATGCAGCTCGAGATACTCAAGAGGAAACTCGAAGGAGTGAAGGAGCACCACCCCGGCCCCCTCCAAACAGCGACGCGCGACCTCGCGCGATCTCAGCCCTTGCCTTTCCTGGCAATTCGGCGGAGCGCATTGCGTCTGTGCTCGGCGGATGGGGACCCAGCCGGTGTGATAACAGCAAGAGGGATGTCGGGGGGTATGGGAGGCGACGTGGGGCCGACTACTGCGGGATGGCTGCGGCTGCGTGCACGGACAGCACTTTTGGGAGATGGGGATATGGCGACGATGGTGCCCGCGATGTCGGGGGGTACGGCCTTGCGTTGGGGAACAGGGTCGTCAGCCGGTATTGCAGCTACCGAGGGCGTCGACGCGTCGGGTGGTCGCGGAAGGTGGGGCGGAGCTTCGCGTTTGAAATCCGGCCATGAGCGCGTGCGGTGGGGCGGGATGCGTCGGGTCTTTCCTTTGGATCGTGCCGAGGCGCTCCTCTGGACTACACGTGGCTGAGAGCGAACGGTGCGTAGGCTGGAGGCCGAAGGTGGCGCACGCATGCGAATGGGTGCAGTGGGAGGCGGGCGTGCACGGAGTGGTGGGGAGGGGATCGACCGCAACGAGAGGATGTTGATGGTCTGGTGGAAGGCATCATCGAGGAAGTCAGCCTCGACTTTGTACGCAGCGGAGAAGTTGACTGGATACGGTGGGGACTCGAAAAACTCGGCGGAAGCGGGGGTAGCAGCGACGTCAGGGATTGCGGCTCCCATGAAGTCGCCAGGATTGTCGTCGGGGGGGATGATCGACTCCAGCTGTCCCTCGAGGTAAATCTCGTCACCAGCGAGCTCTGGGTCGTCGGCGGTGTACCCATGGTCAGGGTGCCAATAATCCTCGCGCTCCTCATCCCAAATCCAGCCCGCAGCCTGTGCGCGCTCATCTGCGAGCTGGTCTGAGCACAACTCTGCAAGAGTCTGCGAGTACTGTGCCCGCTCGTCGTCAGGGACGTGACCCTGCTGGAGCGCATACTGCATCGCATCCAGGTGGTCCGCCATCCACGGTACATGGGGAGGAGCGGGGCTCAGCGCCTCTGTGTCCGTGAGCTGAGAGGGGGACTCGGGGGCTGCGTCTGCGACGATGCGTTCCCTCCATGCGTGCATCCCACTCTCCCACGTAGCGACGCATTCGCCGGAAGGTGGGCCGCTCACCCATTCGTCCGCCCAAGCGACGGCGTCTGGGCAATAGATGCCACCGGCCTCGAGGATATCCGTGAATGCGCACGGGGCCTCTACATGCGCGGTGCACGCGAATGCGTCCTCGACGGGACTCTGCTCATCCTCCAGCAGGTACTCAACGCCTCCCTGCGCAAGGTAGTCGACCTCGTACCTGGGTCCATTGCAGTCCATGCCCATCGCGCTCACATCTCCATCCTCTTCCACGTAATAACCGTCCTCGTGGTATGCGGGTATGTCGGCGTCCGAGCCGTGTCCATAGTCCTCGTAGATCTCGTCTGTTGGCGGGTCGGCGTAGTCCTGGTTGTCATAGGACCCGTCATCGTCGTATGAGGGCTCGGGGTCGTAATACTCCGGTTCTGGGTCGAAGGAGGGTTCGGAGTCGTAGTAGGTGGACTCCGGGGGGTCGTCGTCGGCAGGGCCGTAGTCGTAATAATCGTAATAGCTCGCCATGGCGAGATTCTCGCGTCGAAAGTCGAGCGGTGATTTTTTTTTGGCTCGTGCCGTAGCACGATGTCTCGTCGCCAAGAAAAGTCGACGGTGGGTCCAGGGAGCGGAGGAAGAGCGGATCGCACTCTAATCACCAAAATGGAGAGCTCCCGGGGGTCTGCAGTGGAAAACCAGCAAAACGTAGATGTAGGTAAGGACAAAGTGTGATGATGACTAATCTACTGATCGGGCCGAAGGAGGCGCCCAGGGCGTCTCCACCGTAAGCCCCGAGTTGCGCGGCAGGCCATCCAGCGCAGCTCTCCCTGTTGCTTTCCCGTCTGCAGCACACGATTTATCTGTTTATTCTATCCTTTTCCAGTCCGCATCCCCCTCAACAACGGCATTCTCGCCGAAACGACGGTCACGGAGCATACTTCTTTGTACCGATTTACCTACCCCTCCGATGCGGAGGAGATGATATTACTACTCGACGCTACCGGCGGTGCGTGCCCTCCTCTATTCCCTTCGCATCAGCGGCGGCGTGGCTCGAATTAACCAAAAACGCGCAACAGATCTCGGAAAAAACTACCGCGGCGACGGGCGCGTCTCTGTCTCCTCCTTCACATCCCCTCCCTCCAACACTGCGGGCACGCGCATAACTGGCACAGGCACCTTCATCCCCTCCTTTGGGCAGAGCACATACAGCGTTTTTTTCTGCCTCGACGTGCCCCTCTTTTTCAAGCAAGCGGTGTACTACGAGACGACGAGCGGGGCGAAGGAATACCTCGAGTTGAATCCGAGTGCTGCCGTTGAATCGAGTGCGGAGGTAGGGGTAAATGCGACGGGTGCAGAGGGCGGGTTCGAAAGGGAGATAGGCCGCCATGGGCCGGCGGGGGTAGTTTTAGGGTTCCCAACATCTCCTTCTCCCTCGAAGCGCCAGTCCGTCGTCGAAACACACACCGACCCCGACATCAATGCTGACTCGAGCGGCGCGCGGACGCTCTACGTCCGCATGGGAATCTCCTTCACGAGCTCTGCTCGGGCGTGTGCGTACGCGGAGGAGGAGATACCTGAGATATCAACGGTCG